GGCGCTGGTCTGTGCCCAGGCAGGCGGGCGGCTCCCGGCAGCCAGACCCTGTTTGTGATCCCCCCTTGCCGCTGCTTTGTGCCCACAGTGCAACTACCTGGTGCCTGCACTGCTGGTCATCCTCATCTTCCTCTGCTTCCAGCAGAAGTCCTACGTGTCCTCGGCCAACCTGCCCTCCCTGGTCCTGCTGCTGCTGCTCTATGGGTGAAGGGCTGGTGGAGCCCAGCGTCGGGGCTGAACCCTGGGAAGGGCTGGGGGGATGCGGGCGGCTGGGGGGTCTGGGTGGGAGCAGCGCTCGGGTCCGGGGACTCTGTGCAGCCGATTCCTGGGTGGCCCTGCCATGTCCCCAGATATGGAGCGTGTTTTGGTCAGCCCCGTTTTCCTCTGTCCCTCCAGCTGGTCCATCACCCCCTTGATGTACCCGGCCTCCTTCCTCTTCAGCATCCCCAGCACTGCCTACGTCGCCCTGACCTGCATCAACCTCTTCATCGGCATCAACGGCAGCGTGGCCACCTTCGTGCTGGAGCTCTTCGTGGACCAGGTGAGCGCCGGGCTGCCCCAGAGCCCGTCCCAGCACCGATGCCGGCTCTCCCCCAACCCCACCTTTGTCTGCTGTCCTGGCAGAAACTCAGCGACATCAACCGCATCCTGAAGAAAGTTTTCCTCATCTTCCCCCACTTCTGCCTGGGCCGAGGCCTCATCGACATGGTGAAGAACCAGGCGATGGCTGATGCCTTTGAGAGGTTCGGTGAGTCCCAGGGGAGGCCGGAGGCTGCTGGTCCCAGGGCGCTCCCCATTGTGTCCCCCTGCTCCTAGAGCCCCTTTTCCCTCCTCTTCGCCGCTCGCAGGAGACAAGCGGTTCGTGTCCCCCCTGTGCTGGGATCTGGCAGGGAAGAACATGTTCGCCATGGCTGTTCAGGGCGTCATCTTCTTCCTCTTCACCCTCCTGGTGCAATACCGCTTCTTCCTGCGGCTCAGGTGAGGGGGGGCTGCGCGGGGCC